GGAGAGGATAAATAGGAATTAGAGATAATTTAGGAGAGAAACTGTTTAGAGTTAATTTTGGAGATAAATAGTAATTAGAGATAATTTATAAGATAAATAGGAATTAGAGATAATTCTGGAGAAAGTGGGGGAGGTAGTTTAGGATAAATTTTAGGAGAAGAGATTATTTAGGTTATTGGAAAATTGCATCTCATTGGTTGTTTCAAAAATGACATGAAATAAAAAAAATAAAAAATTTAAAACAAGAAGAAAATTTCTTGACTGATTTGTTTTAATATATATATATATATATATATATTCACTCTTGAACATCTAAAGAATAACCCAATGATGAAATAATAGAGACAGTACTATTCTATCAAATAATAATAATAATAATGATGATGATGATGATAATGATGGGAGACTCTATTTAGTAAATAAGGTCAATACTAGACCTCACGTTGGCTGAAATTTCCATTGAGCTGCTTTCATTGGGCTGTTTTGATGAAGTTTCACCAATGACAGCATAGTAATTCCCACCTTTTTCATCAAAGATATATAACTTATAGGCTGTCTGTGTTGAGACCATCTTACAAAATATCCAGCCACCTGGTCTAGGAAATATTGCGGCTGTATGTAATCCATTTATGACCTAAACTGTGTATTCCCCATATCATCCTGTCCAATATAAAGAAGTAAAACCATGGCTTTTGAATCTTTGTTAAATCGTTCTTTTGTCAAAAACCTTTCATTTGATCATGATTCAGGCAGTTAAATCTTCAATCTGTTCAATTTAGATAACTTTTTTTGTCATTTTTATTTTAATTATTATTTTTTTATTTTTTTAAACTATAATGGACCATCTGTTTGAACCAGACGATTGGACTGCTGACCTAAAAACTGATGGTCAAAGCAGTTCTGATTCTGACCCTTCTGGGTCAGTTTTTAAAGCATTTAATAAAATTTACGGCCAAGCAACAATATGCACCAACTTAGAAATAAACTTCTTCTTCTTCTAACATCATCAATATTATTTTTGATTCCAATACATTGAAAATGAGATATTAATAAGATCATAAATATGTGAGTTTTTTCTTTTCCTTTTCTCTACAGAAAACTCTTGAGTCTTGGCTATGAAAATATCGCGTAAATCAAATGGCTGATCATGCAGGCTTTGTTGCATTTCTTTTATTTTTAGTGTCAATTAAATTATTTTCTCTTAATTTTTTTTTATTTCTTACTACTAAATTATTCTTTCTTAAATTTTACGCTTCTGTCCTCATTTTATTATTAGTAATATTCATATACACTTCCTAAACACCTACATATTATATACAAATCATGTAAGAAGTGACGCAGGAGCTCACAATTATTACCTTATTAGGTACTAATTAACAGAGTCCGGATCTCCTGTCCACAAGAACTCTGCTCACGTTTGCCCATATAACATCACAGCCACACATAAAGAATATCTCATCCTCCTGCATAATATTAATCAGGGGGAGATGTATCCAATTCCCAGGGGTAGTGTGTTGTGAGCAGACGTTGGCAGAGTTCTCGTGGATAGAAAATCCCGCATCTAATTAACATCATTGCATATCCTGGATGTAAGATCTACATAAGGGTGTATGGGTAACAGGGTAGGGATGGCAATTTTCCCCATTCCGACCGGGACCTGACTTCTCCGATCTGATGGAATGGGGGTTGAGAATTGTTTTGGTGGGTGTGAAAAAGATTCTTTGAGGAGAAATTTCAAACTCACGGCCGTGACCTGCAACTATGGTAAAAACACACAACTCTTCAAGTTACCAACTGACAGCTGATTTGGGTTCTCCAGATTTTTATCAAACACACAACTGTATGAAACCCGCGGGAAAGCCAAAAGCTGTTACTCACCCTCTAAATTGAATAAGTTGAAGGAAGCAATGGATAACGGATTGCATCAGTTTAAAGATAAGTGATTAAACCCCAATCAATCATAGCGCCTCTTTAAGTTGGGTTGCTCACGGTTGCCTCTCTCTTTAATGAGCGTCTTCATGTCCTTATTTATCCATCATTAATAGATACCACGTACAAAAATTGTAACTCACTCTACCAAGTACCAACCCAGATAATAACAGGATCTGTATTAATTAACCCAGCTGGACATTATTAATTCTAGCTCCATGTTTTGCCCTTTATGCCAAGTGAACATTGAAACCTAGCGATCAGCTAACTTTAGTCCCGTAAACAAACATAAATCATTAATTAGTTAGTTAGTCAGTTATCTTCCCCAAATTTTATTAGGGCAAAAGACTTAAGTATACCTTTTATTATTAAAATGTTATTAACAAATAACATCACGTGACCTATTTAAATTTTCAAAAATCCCGGTTTGCCCCTTACAGCAATTTACCACCCAATCGACTTAGAATTGAAATCATTTTGGCTACTAGTTTCTGGGTTAGGAGATTGAACGTCTGGTTCGAATGGACAATCTATTTTAATTAAAAAAATAATTAAATAAATAAAAAACAGCAAAAAATTATTGTTCAGGTCAAATGGGTTGGCAGTTCAACTGCCCAGATCAACAGACCACTGACCAAATCAATAATTTTTGGCCAAGGAACAGGCAAGGGTGAAATAGAACTAATTTTCGAGCCAAATGGTCCAACCATCCGAATCAACAATGGTTTGAAAATCATGCTTTTGATTGATTCAGCGTGTACAAATTTCCCTGTGAAATATCTTCCGTAGCCAAAATTAGGACCAAATAATTAGTTGCTTCTAAAATATTTTCTGACTTAATTGAAGGCAATATGCTACAAATGGGTTATATTTATCTATTAGTAGAATTGGTTTGAGTGTTGTGTTATTACTTTCATATAACATCAAAGTCAGTTTTAGTTTAATTTACAGCAAATTTATTAAACCATCTCTAAGTTTGAAATTGACTCTCTCCTGTTTAGAAATTTAGAAATTGTGATAAAGTATCCCTAAGTTTTATAATAATTGACTAAACCCTCCATGAGTGTTCCATTACAATCTGTTCACATGTGACACCAACTATAAACTTTTTTAAAACCTAATATTACCTGTTTGTGATCAATTTTGCCCTCTATTATTTTTTAAAATTTCAAAATAAAATTCAATATCTCCAAATTTCACTTGCCAGCAGTTACATATCCATGTCTGTTAAGGGTGGAAGAAATTTTATCAAGCACATCAGTAGAGAGGTGATTTAGATCACATAATATTCTGGGCATGCCACCATGTTCAAACTGGGAAGCTATGTTTCATCATGACTACTTCAAGACAAATGCATCTGAACTAGAAAAACCAAAAGGAAGACATTCAAAAGCGTAACTGCAAGGGTTTGAGTCTAAGGAGTCTAACTAAAAATTAGTTAGTCTCTTGTATTCCAACTCCTTTGAAGATATCTATTCTTTTTTCTGGTAGTCTCTGGATTTTTCTTACAACTTATGTCTAGTTCCATACCACTAAATTCATAGTGAAACAACGGATAACTTTGTTCTGTACAGGATTGTCAATGAATGGAATTGCATCTGAGTTCAATTTGAATCCAATCTGACCATAGTTTATACTCATCTTGCTAGAGATCTCAGCATCTGCTAATGAAACTAAAATGGGTTAGTGATAGGCTTGTAAATGATACCCGAAAATCTATAGCCTGATCTGACATTTGATCCAAATATCTCAGATTCAGAGATGTATTTATGTAATCGGATCGGGTTCAGATTTTGCAATCTACATCCAATTAATAATTGAGTCAAATTCTGGTTAAAATCTGAAGTCAATTATATTATAATATTTATTGATTTTAATATATAAATTTTTTATAATTATATTTAAAATTATAAAAATATATTTTATATATTATATTATATTATATATGAATTTATATATATCATAAATTCAGTATGTATATTTATACTAATTTATTATACATAAAACTTTTTATTTTTTTGTATTTAAAAAAAAAACAAATGCAGTCAGATTAAATCCGAACCCAACCTGAATCCATTAAGATTTAAATTCAAATTCAAGGTCTTCAAATCCGATCAAATTTCAGGATCAGATTCAAATGCAAGTTTTCAATAATCAAATTGGATCTGGATAACCAATCTTCCCCATATTTCAGTTTTTTTCAAAAACTTACTAGTGGAGGAATAGAAGAAAAAGTATTGCATTTCCCCTTCCTGTTCCCTCAGTTGGAATAGAACTCTTCGAGTAATCTAGAACCATCAGTAGGGGAAAACGCAATCATGTAACTGCCCAATCTTCAGTTTATTCCGGGCAAAAAGTCTTGAGAGATATCAAAGTGGGGTACCATCAATTGTTGAAAAATGCAAAGGTCCGTTTTGGGTAGTTTACAAGTGGGGGAAACATGTCAGATTGGGTTTTATGCTTTGGATTCATGCTCTAAAACGGTAAAACCAAAGGATTTTCTTTTGGCTTCATGCCCCAAAACCAAAGGATTTTTTCTTTGTTTCAAATGTTTCATTTAAAAAATTTAAAGAAGAATGATGGTTAAAATAGTCTTTTCCATCTTTCTATTAACAGACGCCGATAACAAGGGAGGTTTTAATCATTTGTCAGCAAACTTGAGGGTATTTTAAGACAATTTCTTAACAGTAGGGATGAATAAGTTAATTTCCTAAAGCTTAAGAGTATTTGAGAGATTTGCCCTTTAGTTTATCGATGCTATTCAATATCCTATCACAATTTTGAGTTCTGTTGGAATCCGTTATAAATCTCATAGATAAGATTCAAATCAATTCGAATATAAACAAATCAAATTTGGATCTACTCTGTCTCTATCCCATTCGATCCAATCCCCTACTACAGGAAAGAATAAGCTAAGGAGAAATGACAGGCCCTACTGCATCCAAATACTCGTTGTCAAAAGGAAAATATTCATGAAAACATGAACTCCACGATGTAAGACAATCAATTCCAAGTTAAATTCATGAAACAAAGAAGAAAATATTAATAAAAAGGTAGCATGTGTTACTTTATTTTTTTTTTTTTTACAGAACAGACATTTCTGTTGGTGTAATGCAAGCTAATCAAACAATTTTGCATACATGTATATGCAGCTCAATGTATATCGTAGAGCCTGCATGTTAAATCTGACGTTGGTGGCAAGAGGTCAAACAAGAAAGGACCCAAGTAAAGCAGGTTGCAACTGTAACACCAGAATTGGTGAATTGGGTGATACAGCAAATGTGTCAGCAAAGTAGCTTGCAATCCGCAGATGTTCAGGAGATAAACCTCAAGTTCATGTTCATACATCTATGTCACTAAGCCAAAAGTTAAACCAGAAAATCAAAATATTTACAGATTATGCAATATTTCAGTGGCTAGATGTCCACAGCACTTAGTACTACTAATAGCCAAACAGATGGCCTTGTTTTCGGTAAATACCAAAATGATGCATCGTGCGGTTCTTGCCCCATATCAATACAAAGGGGAACTTGTTCGACATGCGTAGCTTTAAGATGTCCCAGAACTTCTCTACCTTCCACTTAAGAAGGCTCTTGTTGATACAACACCTCATGCCATATTCAAGAAGGTTTTACTGAGATTCCAGTATCAAGATAGAGAAGCCTAGAAAGAAAATCAGAAAAGAAATGGGGAATCCAGAGTGAACTTATGGTGATAGCTTTTCAGCATTTGCAACTGCTTCAACATAGTAGTACAATCTCCAAAGTGTCGCATTGTCCTAAAGAACCCATGAAACAGATCATTAGTATTAGGTCATATGTAAATATACATGTACGCTGATTGATCACTTAAACTTTGATATTACCTCCTTTTCCAATTCAATACTTATCTCTTTGCAAGAATGACTTTCTTCCTGCTTATTGCGTTGGACAATTTCCACAATGCGATCAAGGTTTTTTGGTGGCATCTTCTGGATCAAATTTCTAAGTTCTTGCTTCTCAGTGAGAGACATTGGTCTGCAAATAGGGAGGATAGATTTCAGTATAGGCAGGGAAACTGAAAAGCCAGAGGCGAAACCTTTAACAACCAAGAACAAGCAATAAAACCATAGAAAAGTAGGGCTAAAAATAGATAATTATTCAGGTTATGCATGTATAATCAAACTCTACACTTCTGATGGAAGAGATTTAATCCAAATGAGCTACCCAGGTTATGTACAGAAACCCTATAGAGGTACTTATGCTGACTTAGAAAATTTAATATATCAGCCATCATCATGCCTGAAACATGTTTTTTAGATCTTATCCATTGAAAAAAAAAACATGTTTTCTAGATCTTAAAGTTTAGTATTATATGCAAAAAAGCAGAAGATTCAGGTTTCACATAACTGGTGGGTTCCATGCACTAATGAACTGGAAAGTGTAGGAAAGGTATTTTGGAAGATATTTGGTGTCCATCGTCCATTGCTTTAAAAATCTTTAAATAATTAGAAAGATAGCTCCATCTCTTAAAGGTGAAGGGTGACTATGCTTCACTGTAAAACAATCCAAGAATCACCAACTTTCATGGCTGTTAACAGGGTTGAAGTATCTATAGTATCATACAATATGTACCAGTTTTCAAAAACATCGATACTCCAAATACTATGAATTAGACTATTTTAACCGTTTTAAATGTAAATATATAATAAAACATACCCACTTACAAATTGTCATACAAAACAGATGAAACAAATTAAGTGTTTCGATTCAATAAAACTTTTTCGCATAATGAGAGTACCAATACTTTGAATCATGGATGTTCGGGATATTATGCCCAGATAAAGGTGTGGCACGAAGGAGACAGCTCCACATTTAAAGGCCTAGGGCATGGAGATCTGTCATACTCGATGTTTTAAAAGCGCAAGGCGCAAAAAAAGCGCTAGGTGCAAAAAAAGCGCAAGGCGCAAAAAAAGCACAAGGGGCAATTTATGCCCAAGGCGCAAGGTGAGACACGCATCTTTTTATGCAAAGCGCAAAAATACAAAAAAAAAGCTTAAAAAATTAAAAAAAAATATTAAACATAATATTAATAAAATATATAACTTAAATTTTAAAATAATTTTTTTAAAAAACCCATTATCTAAAATTAAAATACATAAACATAGCATGTAAAGTGTATTCCTCTCAAGGATTTAAATATTGACACAATACGCCCGATACGGGGCGTATTGTATTGGTACAGTTGACAACGGTACGGGATACGCTACGAATAGAAACGTATCCCCTATCCCTTAAGTCATTCGTATTGCACCGATACGGATGTGTATCGGCATGTATCTATATCGGCCGATATGCACTGGTACAAGGCGATACACATGAAACACCTGTCTCTCTATACTTCATAAAAAATGCAGCTATTCCGATTCAAACCCAGGTCATTCGGACGTGCCATTTTTCGCTACACTCTGAACCATCAAGCCAGGCTTTATCATATGTTACTAAATAGAATAAAATAAATTTTATTACGTTTTTGTATTGACATACAATTTAAACAAAAAACACGTGTTTATATTTAACAATTCTAACTATTCCAAGGAATAACATTCAAAAATAGTATTTTATAAATTAATAAAACAAATAATCTATCAAGTCCATATTTATATAAAAAGATGCTTTTTAATATCAATAAAATTATACAAACAAAATATTAATAATAAAATGATTATTTTAATATTTAAATTGCACATGATATGCATTTTAAATTTTTATACATTTTTAAAAATTATTAATTAATGTTTTAATTTACATTAAAAAGTAATAACAAAATATTTATTATTTATAAAAAATAAAAATATTGTTTACAAAATATAGAAGAATATAATATTAAATTGAATCTATTAAATTCACTAATCTACATTTATTTCAAAAAATGATTTTTTATTTCAAATTATTTATAGAAATAAAAATATTAACAATTGAATAATTATTTTAGTAATTAAAAATTATGAATTTGTATAGGATATGTATCTTAAAAAGTTTAACAAATTTAATATACTTTAAGTTAATATTATATTTTTTTGAATTATGTTTTGGTATTTTAATTTGCATTTGAGAATTTAATATTTAGTTGATTTTTTCGTTAATGTTAAAAAATTGAAATAGTAAAATAAAAAATAAGTGATATAATAATTAAAATATAATATGCACATGTGTTTAGTGTCTTGGACTCTTGATTGATGCATTATAAATAAAATTATATGATATCTAGGCATCTCAATATATTAATTGTAATATATTTTTTTATATACACCATTAAAATATAATTTTTCTTTGTATTTATATACTATTTGTGACTATATTGGTCTTAAATTTAGTGTTATTAATGTATTTGTGGAATTTGTATGTATTTCCCTAATGTATCCATCTGTTTTCATATTTTTCGTTCATATCCATGCGTTTCCAAAGTGTATTTGTCTCCGAATTCTCGAATACTATACCCGATGCCAATACTTTAATCCTTGATTCCTCCCTCCTTTAATGAATGATAGGTTCCACTGGACAAACTATTACTATGTTTCGTTGTTTGGTGTTGTGAACTTATTATTGTATTTTTCATTTTCTTTTTATAATTATATACTATGGAAAACTCATTCGTACAGACTCCAAAGCTGCTTGGTAGCTTAGCCAAGAGTGCATTTCAAAGGCCCAAGCTGTTTTGTGTTCCTGGTGATTGTATTCTAGTTTATGACTTGTTCATTGTGGGGGCTGTACTTGAATAAGCCCCTCAGTCCTCTCCTTGTATTCTACTTTCATTCTATTTCTCCACTTTTAACCATTTATAAATTTTAATTATTGATAATAAAGGTGCCAAGAAATTAGAGAATTTAATGAGAATTTTTCTTTGGGAGCCAGGTGAGGAAAAAAAGGATCACTTAATAAATTGGGGAATAGTGTGTAGGAGGAAAGAGGAAGGTGGATTGGGACTGGGGAAATTAGTTTTGAAGAATAAAGCAGTCCTAGGAAAATGGTTGTGGAGATGGCCCTTAGAACAGGAGAGACTTTGGCATGAGGTGATAGATAGTATACATGGCAGTTTGGGAAATGGATGGGATGCTGGTGTATCGCGTTGAGCCACTCTGGCAACTCCTTGGAAAGCAATTCAGAGTATTCTTTCTCTTTTCCTCAACTATATCAGGTATGATGTCAATTCTGGTACTTCTGTTTTGTTCTGGGAGGACATCTGGGTGGGCAATTCTGCCCTTAAGGAAAATTTCCCTTCTCTCAATTCCATTTCTTGCTACAAAGGTAAAACAATCTCTCACTTTCTTCCAACATCTAGATCTCCATATCCTTTGAGTTGGGACTTTGGGTTTTGTAAGGGTTTGAGGGATCATGAACTCTCCTGAGTTTCAGACCTGTTGTCACTACTTGAAAACGTTTTTCTAGACCCTTCCAGTTCTGATGTGAGACTTTGGTCTCCAAACCCAAAAGGTTACTTTACATGTGCTTCATTGTTTAAGTCCCTTTGCTCTCCCTCGGGACAAGTGGGTTTCCCAGCTAAGGAGATTTGGTCTAAACATGTACCTCCTAAAATTATTATGTTCTGCTGGGAGGTGTTCTATAAGAAAATCAACACTTCAGACTTATTGCAGAAGAGAAGGCCTTCTATGTATTTGTCTCCTGATTGGTGTGTACCTTGCAAGGCTAATGGTGAGGACTGCTCTCACTTACTTTTAACCTGTCCTTTTTCTGTTGCTATTTGGGGTTGGATCTATGCTTTGTTTGGTTGCAGATGGAATTTGACCACAGCCATAGATCAGATTTTTGATCCTTCATTCTTTGTGTGGCCCACAAAAATTGGTAAAACAATGTGGAGGAGCATTAGAGCTGCTGCTTTGTGGACAATTTGGGAGGAAAGAAATGCGAGGATATTCCAAGAGTAGGAGAGAAATGTTCAAAATGTAAAGGATTGCATTATGACCAGGGCAATCCATTGGTTGAGATCATTAGATTCCTTCAAATTATATTCCTTTGATGACACGTGGAGGAACTGGATGGCTGTGGCTAGTAGCAGTAACAGAAAGAACAGGGTACCAGATGTGTGGGTACCTCCTTCAGAAGACTGGACAAAGATGAACTTTGATGGTAGCAGCCAAGGAAATCCGGGTCCATCAGGGATTGGTGAGGTGCTGAGAGATTTTAGCTTTATTCTCATGCTCTGTGGGTATAGGAGACTCTAATAGAGCTGAGCTTCTAGCGGCAGTACAAGGCATTCAGATTGCGGACCAGTTAGGAGTTCAAAATTTGATTATTGAAAGAGATTCCAAAGTTGTTGTGGGTTGGCTAAAAAATCCAGATTCAGTGATTTGGTGCCACAGGGATTTTATGAGGAAAGCTAAATGGTTCTCAAGGAACATGAATGTTAATTTTCAGTGGGTGGGTAGACCAGCTAACACCATAGCGGATGGGTTAGCTAAACAAGGGGTGTCAAGGGAACGTTTATTCTGGGCAGCTTTGTAAATTTTTTGTTACTAGTCTGAGGTAGTACATTGTTGTTGTTGTGGAGAGGCACCAGCTCGTGCCCCTCCTTTGGGCAAGCTGTATTGAAATATCTTATTGAATTTCTTGAATAAAATGTCAATCATTTATCAAAAAAAAATTATTGATAATAAAGGATGCAACCTTTTTTATATATGTAAGGTGGACACATAAAGCGGTCAACCTTGGTGGTTGTTTTTGTTTTGTTTTTTGGTTCTTCATCTCATTGTGATGTACTACTTTATATTGCTCTCATTGGTAATTAAGCATTTTGATCTTGTTATTAATCAGTATATGCATTCAATTACATGAAAATACAATACCTGCATTTTGACATTACTATGTCAAGAAGTTCTTCAAGCTGCTGCTCCATGTGCCCTAGCTGGAAACAAGTAACTTAGTTCAGCTAGACACATCCATAATCATTCTTTTTAGGTCCCTACAACTACATGGTCTTGGCATTGAGTGAGGCCTCAAACCAAACAACTTAATATCATAAAGACAAGAATTAAGAGTGAACTATTTAACAATATTATGAGCCACATGTTACTGCCTATAATTGATAAAAAAAAAAAAATGTTACTACCCATATCACAAGGACACAAATGTCTGTTGGTGTCTGACAGTGATGCAGGGCATCCACTGTGCCATCAGAAGAAAACACATTACAAGTACAAACACCAAGTCAAGAGCAAACAATCCATTTCATACATTATAATACATATCTTCGTTCATGTAAGGAATAACTAGTTATGTAAAAATTATATGAGTTTAAAATAAGAATACATAGTATACCAAATTCTATCAGACAGAAAAACACAGATGCTCAGACTTCAGATAGCACATTACACAATATGGATGTACCTACAAGTAATTAAGAATAATTTCATCGAATTACCTTTGCAGATAATTCATTGGAATATCTCTTTACAGTTTCCACAGCCCTTGGTCCGCAATTATCTAGGAGAACTAGTAAGTCATCCTTCACCTGAGGAAACAAAAAGAAAACATGGTACCACACTTTATCAGTCACTTGGGGCACAGTGCAAGTACTCAAAAGTAGGGATCAACATGGGCAGCCCAGATTTTGATGCAATGACCAGACCTGACCCTGGGTCCACTGTATATCAATTAAGAACAGGCCAGGATTTTGGCTAGATACCTAGAATGCTCGATCAAGCCTGGCCTGACACTTTACATGTACCTTAATTATAAATACTAGTTGAGGAGCATGTGCAAGAGGGGTGGGAGGGAGAGAGAGAGAGGGTGTGAAGAGAGTAAATAAATGGACTAGATTTTTTGCATGGTGGTTTGAATGTGAAACCAAGGCAAGTATCAGCATTGTATAGTAAAGAAGATGATATTTAAGTTTTTTTTTTTTTTTTGAAGATTTATACATGTAATTGAGTGGTGCTAAGGTGATATATCCGTATATGATCTTGTGGTCACTTTATTAGGCTTGGATTTAAATCTCTCCATATACTCGTGTTTTTTTATAAATAAAAGAGAATTTATTACTAAAACAAGATTGAAGAGAAAAAAGCAAAAGAAATACAACAATCAATACATCCGGACCCAAGGCACGAGATGCGGTCCAGGTATAAAACATGAATTGCAACTGAGCCCAAAACAACTGATCCCTATTCACCCCTTCCTTTGGCTAAATAGTCAGATAGTCCATTTGTTGACCTCCTTTCCCATTGAATCCTCATTTCCATATTGGTAGTCAGCCATTCAATTCTCTTGATAGCCTCCCTAGAAGTCCATATTACTGTACTCGGATTCTTTCAGCCACCCAACCACTAACTTAGAATCCCCTTTCAATGAGCAATTTGTTAAGGTTCAAACTTCTAGCAATTTGTATCCCTTGTAGCATGGATTGGAACTCAGCTTAGAATTCATCTGTTTCTAATAGACAAAGGTCTCGCAGAAATATAACATATGATTGCATATCCAGTCCAACCCTCCCAAGATCTCAGATATTTGGGACCAACATTGGGTAATGATCTTTGTTATATCTTGAATAATCAACACAATACAAAAATAGAAATGATAAAGCTTACACCCAGTGCTACACATAGCCCAAGACAGCCCACAATCACCTACCTCATAGGATTTGTTCTCAGAACCCATTCTAGATTGACATATGGAAATGCTCCAAATAAGAATGTTGATGTAGGCGCGGATGGCCCTGACCAATCGCGGGACTCACACGTGTCAGGCTGCGGACACCAGAGCAGAGCCAACTGGCGAATGCACACTGCCCAGCTTGACAAAACTCAAGGAACCAATAGCGCGGGGTCACTTGGCGGCCTAGGATGGCCATGCACCCCACGTACGGACTCAATCCCCGCCATCCGAGCTCACCTACCTCCAGGCGGTTTCAAGTATAAATATGGGGTGACCCCCCTCCAGGTAAAGGATCGAATACTTGAGCTCTCTCACTAGCACTTGAGATTCATTGCTCTCCAATGACCTCGTCAGGGTGCCTGCACCTCAGACCTCGTCCACCACGCACCACAATACTAACTTGACCGTCGGAGTCCTCGCCTCGGGTCTTCACCTGAGGCCTCTGACATTGCTCTCCTTGCAGAACCAACCCCATGATCCTCGCCTACCTATGATATCAGACACCGTGGACCTCGGATATCCATCACCTCGGTCACAAGTCCTCGGCTACACCCGTCCTCGGACCGAGGTACAGTGTTGTCCTCGGCCAAACCGAGCATCAACAAATGTAAACAAGATCTTCCGAGCCAAGATTTAACAAGATTAAGCTAAAATAATTCAATATGGCAATTTTAATCAATAAAGTCCATATTATTAGTTTTTGGGTCTGAGAGAGAGAGGGAGAGGGAGAGTTGTCCTTCCTCATCCAACTTCTCAGTTTCCCTATCATATATATGTGTAGTTACTCTCTTACTAAAGCCAAAAACCTAAGCTTAGAGAAACAACAATCTCAATGCTAGTACCTCTTCACTTTCCTTTTCTTCTCTGTTCAAATCCGAAAAAGACATCTTTTTCTTTTTGTATCTCATCCAGCAAGCATTACATAGAGGCTGAAACAATAACATAAACCATGAGAAACCAATATAACATCAAAGGAAAAGAAAAAGGATGAGAAAGGAACCTAGGAAATAGATTTTGTCAAAAACCTTAGGCCCAGCATGACCACCCTTCCATTGAGGGGCTTTTGTAGTATGGCATTCAGCACATCTCTTTTTGGTATCACTAAGCTGGCTAGATAAAACTGCATCACTGTAGGCATTGCTCATGTCTCCAGACTCTGATCCCTGTGCCAGAAGAGGAACAGCTATAGGTTCTCTTAAATTAGAAACAACAGCATGTTTGTTCTCCCTATTGAAACCCAATAGAGTAAATGATTCTGCAGTTTCAATTGCCATAATCTCCAATTCTACTTTACATAGCTGAAGCTAGGGGCAGGGGAAGGAGTAAAGGGCCCTCAACATCGTCTGTACAAGGCGACTCAACTGCCCGATAATGAAATCTCCAGATTTTCTGTTAAAAAAAGGCAGAAATTACACTTCAGGAGACCATCATGGTGTTGTAGGGCTGAGAATAATTTAGTGGTCTTGGGCTAGACTATGAATCTTTAAATCATTCCGTAGATGTTATCGTATCTCAAATATACAGTATCAAGCATTTATGCATGTTATCCATGTTATCTAAGTTTTATTTTCAGAGTTTTTAATAATTTTTAACATCCCAATTGACTTAAACTACAAATATACAAATTTCTATTGTGTAGTAAATATAAATATACTTTAGTTTTCCGATGTTTGGTTTTCAACTTTTAAATATTTTAGTTTGACTTGATCTACTCTCACTTTTTCTACTAGGCAATTGCTTACCAAACTCCAAAGTTTGCAAGTACTAAAAGAAACGTAAAATTTCCTTTTTGCTTTTTTGGTAACAAGGAGAAAAACTAGTTTTGGAATTAGAAGTATTTATTTTCCTTCTACTAAATTAACCTTATTCATTCTACAGATTTGGTGCAATCTAACAAAACCTACCTGTACAAAAGAACCTCTGGATCAGTTAACATGACTGAATTTCATCAATGGGGATTATCTAGCCATATTAAAAAGAATTTAATTTAGCTTCCATTAAAAATCAAATTTTTGCTTCCTAAATTTCCTAAAAGGTTCAACTTTGCTTAAAAAAAGTTAGTATCATCAACAATTTTTGGTTAATGTAATCAATCTTTTATTTAAATTTAAACTTTACTTTATAATTTCATTTTTAATAATTGTGGCTTCTCCTAAATTCAAGGAATCACAAAAAGATAATGAATATTAGATTTTAATTAGTTTTTTCTATTATTAACATGGTTCTAGTGTTTAAATTTTAAAAAGTGTGCGCTGTACCTATATATTCAAGTTTTCCCCTATTCTCTCATTCCTTTTATCCTCCTGTTTTTTTTTTCCTGAGAAGAAATCCCAAGATGTGATAATTTTTCAGTCAAATAGAGCAAGTTGAGAAGATACATGAATGCTAACCTTATGGGCATGCAGTCATAAGGTGCTGCCACCACTGTCCACAAGGAATTGCCACACCTGATCTAGGTTGTGTTTGGTACCATTGCCATTTCAGGCACAAACGTTTAGAGAGGCAATGGCATTACATGTCAAAATGCAAATACAGGCGTTTTGACATGAAACTTCTTCAGTCGGCATCAAGAATCAAAATTTTGATACCATATGCCCTGTATTGGGTGTATTGTATCATATCTTTTGACTAACAATATGCTTATTTTAAACATTTTACAACTTTTGCAACACAAAACAGTGTCAACCAAACAGAAAATTCACATTTAAACTCAAAACCCCTAGGTGGTGCTGATGTGGCAGCGTTTCAAGTAGAAATAGCCATGGTACCATTTACCAAACGTCACCCTCATGAATGGTGCAGAGGCACCCTAATGCACTGTCAGAGAGAGAGAGAGAGAGAGATGTGGGTAACTAGTTTTATGATTCATATCTTAGTTAATATGAGACTTAGAAGGTAGCTCAGAGACAATATCAACATCTACCCAATGTTCAAAATTTCGATATGACACACCCGATACAGGGCTTGTTATATTGTATCTTTTGACTAACAATATGCCTATTCTAATGCAGTTTTAAGAAATTCTTTCTTTAATAATTAAAGAATATAAAAATAGCCCCTCTGAAATTTTGGGAAAAACTAAAAAAAAAATAAAAGCAAAAGGTTCAAAGTATCAATACACCTCTTCCAGCTTTGCATAGTGTATCGATATTCTGAACCTTGCATCAACCTTACAAATAAAACCTCTTGAAAATATATTTCAAGGTGCAACAGGTACCTCATAAATGCAGAGCTTTTAATTAATGTTTTAAAACAGAGAGACACGACACAAATCATTCCACTATCCTAAGGCATGAGGCATAAACCAGAACACAAGATGCACGAACCTCCCAATCATGGGTTTTTAAATTATTAAATAGTTGAAAATAAGTAAACAGATAAATAAATATAGAAAATATCCAAAAAAGGAAGTTTTGTGAAATATTAGAAATTTTCATTTTTTTTATCAATAACTGAATTTCATTAAGAAAGGAAAATAAAAAGGTACGAAGAGGAGGAGAGGTAAACACTCTTAACTCTCCCCAAACAAATATACACACTTACAAAACAGCCCAAAACATATGATTTCTTCCTACCCCTTGTTTAGCCAACAAATCAGCAAAGCAATTAGCATCTCTTTTTGTCCATATCAAAACAACTTCCATTCCTTGCATCAGCCACTTAAACTTTCTTTTTTTTGTTAATATAGTCCCACCAACCCATCTCCTCCTCTTTCATATTTGCAATTTCAAATAATAAAATCATCACAAATTGAAATCTCAGCACATGAAATATCATAATCCATTATTATACAAGTACCATCAGCCATCAATACATGTGGTGTGGCAAATCAGAATTTAAGAATTAACATTTTACATAAATTGCATCGCATTAACATAAACAAGTGTGTAATCTCATACTCGAATGAATGTAAAAGATTGAAAGCAATCAAAGCAATTGTGCCCCCACTTCTATTTACAATCTTTTACAATAAAAATTTAAAGAAACAAACTCACAGGGTTTTCCTTTGTATTATATTAATATGTAATGGGGCATATGATAAAATGGTGCCCCAACTTATATGATATTTTCTTGTAAAAAAATTGCTTAGAAGGTAAGAGCATATGACACACAAGTCTCATACGTGTATACCTTTTTAAGTACCTCCAGGCTAGAGGTACGCCTTTACATGTTTCCTTGCACCCCACCTGGAGGAATTCCTCCAGTGCTTTTCACATGAACCTTACATGGGCTTATGAGTGTAGATTTGTGGGTCCTCGGTCCAAGGCTCCCATTAGCATCAGATGACTCCACTACAATGTGTATACCTTTCTAAGTACCTCCAGGCTAGAGGTACGCCTTTACATGTTTCCTTAGCACCCCACCTGGAGGAATTCCTCCAGTGCTTTTCACAGGCCCCTTACATGGGTTTATGAGTGTAGATTTGTGGGCTCTTGGTCCAAGGCTCCCATTAGCATCAGATGAATCCACTACCATTTTGAAAGATGCATAGATGCACCTGTATCTCTTTTACAATTGAGTTTTGTGTTGGTATAAAATAATAAGAATATGACATGTCATTGCTTTATTCTTGGGACCAGTGGGAGTAGGGGTTTCTGTTAGAGCTGAAATGTTTTCTGCTCTGCAAGGAGTTTAAATTGCAAAGGAGATGAATTTAGAAAATTTGTTGATTGAAGGAGATTCTAAGTTGGTAGTGGGGTGGCTGAAGATGTGGTGCTACAGAAATGAAATCAAGAAATTCAAATGACTAATGAGGAACATGAATGTGATGGTACATTGGATGAGGTCAGAAAATGCAATGACTGGTTGTCTAGCTAAACAGGGGGTGAGCAGGAGTTTATTGTATTGGGCCCAGCTATAAGTTATTAAATGTTACATTGTTGGGAGAGGTTGCATCTTACGCCTCTCCGAGGGATGATTGTAATACTTAAAATTTATTGATATTGATAAAGCTTTTAACTTATCAAAAAAAAAATAAGAATACAAGAAATTTTGAGACAGGGCAGTGACATATACAAACCTCTTGATAGGATCCACAGCCATCAGTTCCACAATATGTCATGATACCACTCATATGGGGGGTAGAGGATAATTTCTGCTTCTTACTAGGAGGTTGGACCACACCCCTATCAAATGTGCTTGAACAATTCTGTAAGTGCTCTTTGCCCTTTAGATGTGCTTGTATCCGGCACATACGGAAGACAGGACCAAGCATCTGCATACAGTATATTATGCATTACTATTGTAACTACAGGATTATTGAAAAACTCACCATAAGCTGAGACGCATGGGGAATTGAAGAACCATAGAATCATTTCTGTAAAAAATGTCCTAACCAACCAAAATGAAAAACAGCCAAAATACCAAAACATTCAATCACTGAAACTCCTTTTGGACAAAGTCATGCTGTCAAAATCATGCAAATGTATGGTCATACCTTATATTTGTCAAGGCGTCGCCGAGGCGCCCAGCCCAAACGCCTTGACTTTTAGCAACTAGGCGTCTGCCGAGGCGACTAAGCGCCCGCCTAGGCAACAAAAATGACAAGGTGGGCGCCTTTTATAATATCATTTATACTGATGTATCTTATTAATGTATGTATTAATACATTTTATTATACACTATATATCAAATTATCAATATACTTTGTTTTAATGTTTTACTATTGAAATTTAAAAGATCAAAGGGTATTGAGGTGAGAAAAAGAAAGAAAGAAAGAAAAGAATTATAAAGAGGTTCTGTTTTTTTTTCTATTCTCTCTCTCTCTCTCTGATTAAATAAAACAGAAACTCTGTCCTTGTTTTTTCTATTTTACTTCTCATCTTGAATATTTATCATGTAAAGCTAGCCTTCTTTAGTTGCTAATTGATATGAAATTTCTCTATTAAATCCTTATTATAGCAGTATTATTTTTTAAAATAATGAAATTAATATATGAAAAGGATTTTTATCTTTTAGATGTGATGATTTGCTACATTTTAGAGGAAATTTATTGTTCTAAATAAAGAGAAATTCTATTTTTTCAATTAATGTACATGCTGAATGGTATATAAAACTAGGGAACTAGCCAAAAGTTAGATTTTTATGTTAAAAATTTTTATCGCCTAAGCGACTAGGTGCCCCAGTCCCAGTGTCACCCAGAATCGCCTAGACGCCTTGAAAACTATGGATCATACATTACCATTGCAATTTATCAGTCAAGTTTAGTTCACTATAATTAATTAAAGATCCAACTGACAATGCTTCTGAGATATCCTCATCCAATAAATGACCCACTGACCTCTTACTCTAACTGGACTTTTGAAATGCTTAGATAGGCCAGCTAAACCATATAGAATCAAAAGACATGACTTTGTTTCTAAAACAAGCAAAGAATTCATATGATTTATCATGCACATAGTAGCAATTCACCAAATCTACACCTATGATTGATCTGTTCTTGCATGAATATCTGTGCATTAAAAACAAATATCCAAATATACCTCATCAACTTCCTGACTCAGGGCAAGCACAGCTTGCTTAAGTGATGCTTTCAGTCTTTCTCTCTTGATGTCTGGAAGTCCATATCCAATGCTATTACTAAACAAAGAATTTGAACCAATAAGGCTGTTAGCATCTCTACCATTACAATTTGGGTCAATTATGTCCCCAGCATTCTCCTTTGTATATGTCTTTGAAGCTAACATAGAAGCTTCAAAAGAAAGAGGCAAAAGATCATCTTCTTTTTGAGAGGATAGCTCCAGTATTTCACGTATATAGTAACCAAAGTAATTAGGTCCTACTTCCTTCTCTTCAGCATGAGCCACTGAAATCCTTAGAGCTTCTGACATCACAACAGTATATAGCTCAGCTGCACACAACAATTACCATGATCAAATTGAAATACTTGACTGATGTGACAGTGGTTAAAAGTTATAAGGAGAAATGAGTGAAGTTCAAAAGAGAAAGAAAGCTGACATTGTTCCAGCAAAAGAGGACATTGAGGTCAATGAAAAGCATAAGCCACACTGATGTAGGACTGGTATCTGATATCAAATGATATAGGACTACCTGCTCTGATCCCAAACTATTGTGTAGGATTGATAGCTTTAATACCAATTTGATGTAGGACTGCTATGTTCCAGCACTCAATTGGTAACAAATTTGAAAGAAACTAAAAAAATAAATCATGATTACATGGGATTAAGCCCAAGGTTCGGGTTTGAGGGGCTAGGGGCAGAGGCAGATATAGGAAAGCTGGATGAGAGTTTGTTTAGGGTTATATGGCTGTATGAATTTTTCTTTTCTTTTTTTGTTTTTTGAAGAAATGTTAGGTATATCAGTATATGTATTTCAATTCAAAATAGGGATGAGTCCCCTCAATAGGTACTATAAGCTTGGCACCTATACAGTAACTGTGCATTAAACTAAAAAGAGGTCTTAAAATCCAAAAAAAAAAGATCAAAGAACACCGCAGACTACCCCATCACCTATATGGCAAGTAATTATATATACAGAATAATTACTAGAGAGAAAAAAAAACAATATCTTCAGATTAGAAGGAAATTTCTTCGGACTGTTCTAAAGGAATGTTTAGGTTGGTGAACTAAAGAAAAGGATTGAACTTGTAGGGGTTTTGAGAAGGTTTCAAAATTATAAGCTTTTAATATCTAGGCATTTTAGTGAGATTTTTTTTTGAACTGTTTTACTGGGATGAAAAGGATCTTTAGGTATGGGGATGACTGAACCAAACCTGTTTTTTATCAGTAATTTAGCCTAGCTTTCACTAAGGTTTGATAAGGGTGATTTAGAGAGAGAGTTTATCTCTAGAAAAGGTATGTGGATGTTAAGAATTGAAGGGAATTGATAGGAGACTTACCTAGATCAATCCTTTATTTGATGATGAATGATGGCTTTTCATTGCTTTTTCCCTAGTCTTTGATAGTTGAGCTCAAAAAAGTTGAAAGAGAAGACAAGAGAAGAGAGAGAATGAAGAGAAACCTAGGAAAGTGGGGCTCGCAGTCTCTAGCATAGTCATCAAGGCAACTAGGCGATTCTAGGGGATAGTGGATTGTCTAGTCGCTTAGGAAACACCTTTTTATTTAAAAAAAAAAAAATCAAGGTTTTAGACTAATTCTTTAATTTTAAATACCAAACAGCATGCACATAAATTGAAAAATAACAATACTCTTTACTAACAACATTAATTTTCCTCACAAAACATAATAAATCATTGTATTTAAGAGATCATGGCATTTTAAATCAATTATATTCAAACAGCACTATAACAAAATTAATATTCAAATACTTGAACCCACTTCTACATATATTATTGTTTTCTGTAATCAATAAAGGTGCAAAATTACTCATCAAGAAAATAAATATTTAATGGAAAATTTCATGCCAAAAATTATTAGCAACAAAAGAAGACTATAAGTTTATACAATAAAATAATAATGAGAGAGATATAGAGTATCAAAAATGGTAGAAGAAGGATCAGCGTCCCTTTTCTAGTTAACGAGAGAGTAACGACTGAAAAATGAAAAGAACTCTTTATCCTTCTTTCTTTTTTCTCTTCTTAAAACCCTTGGATCTTTTATGAATCAATAATAAAACCCTAAACAAAGCATAAATAATATGCATAATATATGACAAGATGTACTAAAACACATAGTAATAAGATGTAGCAACAGTGATAATGTTTTGATAAGGTGCCAACTTTGTGACTTTTGTAGCCTAGCCAGGTGCCTTTTTAATATAAGCCATGGCATCCAGGCAAGGCGTTCCACCAAGGGCATGCCATGCCTACACATGTTAGGCAATGAAATCAGTAGATAAAAACTCTCACTCATATGAGAGATGCTTGGAATCTCCTTTCTTTGGGTTCCAGTGGCAGTTTCATAATTGGGTTCTCTAGATGTAGGTATTTGTTTCAACTTTTTAAGTGCCAATGGGTTAGAGTAGTGTTATGAAAAAAATTTCTATATGATGCTTGTTTCTGGCTGTTTTATTAATTGAGTTCTCTAGATGTAGATATTTGTTTCAGCTTTTTAGAGTGCTACTGAGTTAGTGTTATAAAAGATTTTCTTCAAGTTGTCTTAGCACATGGGATCTGCTTATGATGAAGTTCTTCTGTTAAAGTTGTAGGTTCATCATTTTTCTGTCACCTATGTTACAGTACCAAAACTTGTCCATCTTCAGTAGTTTTAACGCCATTAGATGGGTAATAGTAGGAAAGTATCTCTTTTCTGATAAAAAAATAGTACGAAAGTGGCTCTAAGATATAGCCAATCCTCTCTTCCTTAAATAAGATTTTGTAAGGCCATCCAGATATAGAGTGAGTGAATAGTTTATGCAATAAATATTGGGTTTTCATCTTCTTCTCTGCTCTTTTTCTTGGGTAAGATCTAAACTTTCTTGCATCTCTTGCATTCAAATCTAATTTCTTTGCATCCTTTCTTGAACCTTAAGACTCTTTTAGTTTGACCTTGATTAGATCTTGGTTCCTTCCTTGATTCCTTGCTTTGTTGCCATTTGCCTTTTTTAATCTTTTTTGATTTCTTATAAATTCTTGATAGCAAATTCTTCTTTTTTGAAGTTATTGCTTGCTGAAACATATTTTACTACCTTATCCTTTGATTCTTGCTTCTATTTGACTCCCAAGATTTGTCCTCAAGGGAAAAGAAAATATTGTTATATCCCTATGATAAATCACCCTACCCTATAGGTTTCATAACTATCATTTTGAAACCATTGATTAAAAAAAAAAAAAAAAAAACTTTCATTTAACACGCCTAAATATCTATTTATCCTAATTTAGGGTCATTTCACAACCCTAATACCATTGAATCAGGGTGGTGCCTAAGCTACAAGGCACCCATGGAGGGTCACCTCACTCAAGTGCCTAGCTTTTCTTATCAATAACATTAACTTTCATTGAAAGGAATAATGGTGAATTACAAAGTGTACAAATTGGAGATAAAAGAGCTTATGATCAATATCAAAAATCTTTACAACTAAAACCAAAAAATCTGATCCATCCCAACCCCTTGATTTGCCAAAGAGTCATCCATGCTGTTAGCCGTCCTTTGCACCTATTGAATTCTAATATTTATACCACTGATTATCCATTTAAACTTTTTTGACTCATTTTTGTACATCCACAAATCATTTCCCTTGTTTAGTAGCCACTTAATCACCAATTGTAAGTTCCCTTCAACAATCAGTTTTGTACATTCAGCTCCTTTGCTCTATTTTCCCCTTCCATAACTGCCATCACTTTAGCCTTCAAAGAATCACCAATGCCAATCGGATCTGAGAAAAGTGCCACCGCATGCCCTTACTCATTAATATGCCTCCTAGACCTGAAGGGCCTAGGTTTGCTTTACTACTTCCATCAAAGTTTAGTTTTATGTACCCATCAGTCTGTGGTGTCCAAGACCTACTAATCGTAACTTTCATTGTTGATGTATTAGCCATTTCCTCATGATATCATCCACTGAGAAGTCCAAGAACAACTCTTAGGGATTGTAGCTAGTGAACCGCTCTGATGATGATATCTTCAATCAGTGCCTCCTTACTCCTTTCTTTTTCTTTGAAAATTCTTGTCTTCCTCTCCTCCCAGACAGTCCATGTTACTGCAGCTCTTAGGCTTCCCCATATGTTCTACCTCTCTTCTTTGGTCAAAGAAACAAGGTGAGAGCAAAGAAGCTTGACATGTTGGATGGAGGATTCCACCTTTAACCAAACAAATCAAGAAACCAATCCTAAATCATCATCGACATCCAAGCCTTATCCCGGCTATATGGGGTTGGCCACATGAATCCAGTTTTGCCATTCCATTCTATTTAATGACATATCCACTATTAAATTATGGACACTTAAGTCATTTCTAACTACTTTAACCCAATTTCTTTTTAGTCTACCCCTAGCCCTTCTACCCCTTCAACTTGCAACATATAGCTTCTTCTTACAGGTTTTGTTGGTAGTCTTCTATGCACATGAACCAACCATCTTAGTCTACTTTCTCTCATTTTGTCACTTATTGGAGCTACTCCTAGGTTCTTTCAAATAACTATTTCTGACCCTATCTTTTCTAGTTTTTCCACTCATCCACTTTAGCATGCACATTTCTGCAACACTCATTTTTTGGACATGTAGTTTCTTGATTGCCCAACATTCTGCTCCATACAACATTGCTGGCCTTACAACTATTATATGAAATTTTCCCTTCAATCTAAGTGGCATTGATCTATCACACAAGACTCTAGATGCACCCACCATTTTGTCCATACTGCTCTAATTCTATGAGTGACATCCTCCCCAACCTCTGCCTTGTTATCAATTATCAAACTAAGGTACCAAAAAAGGTCAAATTGCATTATCCCTTGATCTACAATCCTAAGTGTATCCTCCTTTGCACTCCTATTATTATTATTAAATTTACATATCATATATTACGTTTTTCCTACTTATTTTAAAAGCTTTTAATCCTTTATTATTATTAAATTGCATATTATTAATTAAGACAATGTTATCAGCAAAGTCCCTTGATACCAAAAAAAGGTATCGGCAAACAACATACACCATGGGACCTCCTCCTAATAAAGGTCATATTGCATTGTCCATAAACATAATTTTGCATTTAAACCTTTTTTAGTTTTATCAATTAAGACAATGTTAGTAGCAAACAACATACACACCATGGGACCTCCTCCTAAATATGTCTACTCAATTCATCTATGATTAATGCAAATAAATAAGGGCTAAGTGATGAACCTTGGTGAAGACCCATTGTAACTGCAAAATCTGATGTCTCTCCTACAGGCTTTGTAACATCGGTTATTACACCCTAACACATATCCTTAATTA